TGCATCTATCATCATAAAAGTGTATCTATCCATCATAAAAGTGAATGTCCATCATAAAAGTTCATCTATCATCATAAAAGTGCATCTGTTCATCATAAAAGTGCATCTGTCCATCATAAAAGTGCATCTATCATCATAAAAGTGCATCTATCCATCAAAAAAGTGAATCTGTCCATCATAAGTCCATCTATCATCATAAAAGTGCATCTGTCCATAATAAAAGTGCGTCTATCCATCATAAAAAGTGCATCTATATATCATAAAAGTTCATCTATCATCATAAAAGTGCATCTATTCATCACAAAAGTGCATCTGTCCATCATAAAAGTGCATCTGTCCATCATAAAAGTGCATCTCTCATCATAAAAGTGAATAAAAGTGCACCATTCACTGCCAAATATGAAGCTTGGAAGAGCCAGGACATTTTTTAATATAACTCCTATTATATTCGTCTGAAAGAAGAATGTCGTATACACCTAGGATGTGAGTAAATCATGGGTCAATTTTCATTTAAATTTCATCTGAACGCTGCTCGTCGAATAGAGACGTTACCTGGACGTGGATGCGGACGGTTTCTCTTTGGCGCTGACGGGACGGAAGCCGCTGCTCTCCTGAACCTCCTGTTTCTGCCGCTCTTCTGTGAAGGTGAAGAAGATCGAGGTTAAAATGGCGTTTCTGAGACAGAATCACAGTGAATAATCACACTGACCTAAAGCTCGCTGACTTCTCTCGATCGCCGTCCGCCTCGTCTGCTCAAACATGGCCTCCAGGTCAAAGGTTCGAGCTTTCTTTCCTGAGAGCCAAAGAAATATTACAAGTGATCATGTGACTGACACACACACACACACTCCTGCTTCTGTGACGTCTGAGGTGAAACACTCACCGAATCCAGCGAAGCCCATGACTGACGAGATGTCTGCATCGTTACTGGAGTCACCTGTCAATCACAGAAAACAATACAATGCATTCATATCTAGAGGAATTCATATTTTATTTTGAATGATGAATTATTTATGAGTGGCAAAAATCTATAAAACACAAATTAATTAAATAAAAAAACAAATAGTAATATTATTTAAAGTTAAAATTTGAGTTTCAATTTATAAAGATTATTACAGTATTTGTTTATTTATTTTAAACTATGAATAATGTGTGGGTTTTAGGCAACAGTTATTAAATAATATTAATAATAATCTATAGGGGAAATTATTGTGTCATTTTTGATTATCTACTATTTAAATTGTTGCATAATTTCTATTATTAAATTTATAAAAAAAAAATTATTGATTTATTTTTAATTTATGGCTAGCAGGCAAAATGTATAAAACAATGACAAATATTAATAATAATCTAAAGGCAAAATATGATTTTCATTTTAGATGTTCTATTATTATAACAACATTATTTTTACTATTACCTTATCAAAAATAACTTCAGGGTATATTTGTTTACTTCGAATGAGGAATATGTGTGGGTGGGAGGCAAAAATTCAGAAAATAAAAAATGACTAATAATAATCTAAAGAGAGGAAAATTAGAGTTTCATTTTGGAATTTCTATTGCTATTATTACTTTTCTATAAATAAATATAAAGCTGGTGTATGTATTTAAAGCGATGAATAATTCATGGGTGATAAGCAAAAAATTAACAACATAAAGCCGGTTAAATAATATGAATAATTTCTATTATTAGCATTATATCGAGTGTTTGGTGTTAATAGTATATCTAGGGCACTTTAATGAATACCATAGTGCTACCATGGTAAAAGCCCAAGCAACGAAATATTGCAAATATATTCACTCATAAGGCAGTCGATGAGCGACAGAAATGAACGCTAAATGCTCGTATGACTGAATTATTAATAAATAATGTTCAAATCACATGTGCCTGAGGAGCCTCAGATGATCATAACAGCTACTCTGACAGTATCTGACTTTATTAAACCATCACAGCTTTCAGAAAAAAACACTGTCCTGCAGTTCAAACACATTCATCTCACTTAGAAGAGAGAAATACTTTATAAAACACGTATAAAACACACAAACTTACCAGAAGCACTGCTCCGATCAGCCATGACAATAATAACGGTCACTTCCGGGACGCCAGAAGTCAAAATAAAAGTCCCTTCTTAAGTCCTCGATTACTTTTGAGACATGTTTATCTCGAAGCTTTTAGTGAGTATTTGTTCACACGGAATAAAATTATAAAATAATTTGACTAGAAATAAATAATTAGAAATTGATAAATAATTTGACCATAATCAACGTTTTTCCTGTTTTTCTTTACTTTGTACCTTGTATTTAAACAAAATCCATTGTTATTTATGAAGCTGATAATATAAATACACGATTGTATTACAACTAATCTGAAAACGAAATGCTTTCTTTATTCTCTGAATAATAAGGTAATATATTCACACAACTTTCAATCTTAGTATGTATTCGTACATTTTGAGATTAACAATAACCAAATCATGTTTCTTGTTAGTTTGTTAACTCATGCTAACAACAAACAGAACCTTATTGTAAAGGGTTTAATATCAAACAATAATATCTCTTCACAGAAATTGTGCTTGACAATATTTCAGCTCAGGTCTCATTTTTAATGACATGGATGTGATTAATAATTGGGAAAATATGAGATATTCCGTTTCACAGTATTTTATTAAAGGATTGTCAAATAAACAAATCTTAGAAATGCAATAAGACAAATTCAACCATAAATTTACACTAACACTTTCCCATTCATTAGCATTACTCAGTGGATTAGTTATGAAACTAACAATGAGCATATACAGCAGTTATTAATCTTTAGTTCATAAAATACAATTAGGTGGAGAGTTTGGGGCGTGGCTACTTTTGATTTAAAATGTATTATCAAAAGTTGAAATGAACATGTTGTAGTATTAGTTTGAAAATGAAACCTTATTGTACAGTTTTACCCAAATGTCCAGTGTTCAGTGTGTTGTAGTTTGTGGAGAGCTCTGCGTTCTGT